TTAATTTATTAAAATACTATTTTTATATTTTTATTTATTTTATTAGATTTTTTATTGAATTTAAATGTTTAAATTGTTTACCATATTATTTGTCTCTTTATAAATAAAAACATTTAACATATATATATATATATATATATATATATATATATATATATATATATATATATATATATATATATATATATATATATATATATATATATATATATATATATAAGTAAAACATTTTAAAACATTAATAATGCAACTATTTCATGTCTAAAAAAATTTAATTTCTAGAAATATAAGTTGTCATCATTTGTGTGGTCATAATTTTAGTAAGTAGTGTAAACATTTAATTAAAAATAAAGAAGTAATTCACATTAAAAATATAAAATATAACATTCATTCATTTTCCTTCCGCTTTGTCCCTTAATTTATCTAGGTTCGCACAGTAGAATGAACCGCCAACTATTCTAGCATATGTTTTACACAGCAGATGCCCTGCAACCCAGAAAAACATCAATGCAAACTCATTCTCACTCATACACTCCAGCCAATTTAGTTCAATTCACCTGTACAGCATGTCTTTGGACTGTGGGGGAAATTGGAGCACCTGGAAGAAACCCACGCCAGCATGGGGAGAACATGCAAACTCCACACAGAAATGCCAACTGGCCCAACTGGAACTCGTGACCTTCTTGTTGTGAGGCGACAGTGCGAACCACTGAGCCACCCTGTCGCTCCAAAATTCTTTCAGTTAGAAAATATATATATTTTTAGTGTTACATTTTTACTTTATTTTTCTATCTATTTTTCTCAGTTTTAAAGTCTTTTGTTCTCTCTCTTGTGGAATGTTGTCTTTTCCTATGTTATCATATCAAAGCTGTGTACTTGTCAGGTCTTATGGCAAAGGTTATGCCATCTGGGACTTGCTCTGTACGTCTGTGCTTTATAACATGATTACATGGGAACTGGTGGCCTGCTATACAGAGATTTCCCATGTGAACAATAATGTGTTCTTTTTGTCTAAAGCAGAGATGACCAGAAAACAGCACCAAAAAATCTATAGAGTTGAGAGCAGCTGGACATTAATGCAGAACACATACAGTCATTCTGTTAGAGAGTCAGCTGGGAGACAAAACATTCCCCGATATACAATAAATGGTGTCATGGACTGACAACATCGTTCACAAATATTCTTTAGGGAAAGTTTTATTAATTCTTCCCATATTCTCAATATGAGTGTTTTCCAAATGTACTATACATAACATCTTTTAAAGCTTATGAAACAAACCTTGTGGAAAATGAGTGGAGGCAAATGCACATCTGAAAGTATGTGAAAATGCCACATTTAAAGAGACAGTTCACTTCAAATTGGTACTCTGTATTCATTTGCTCACACTTCACTTGTTTCAAACAAGTTTAAGATGTTCTGTTGTTGAACATTAAAAAAAAATATATTTTGAAGAATGAAGAAACCTGTAAGCATTGACTTTCATAGAATTTGTTTTTCCTAAATTTCCCGAAGGCTAATTAAATGATGGCAGAATTGGTATTTTTGGGTAAACTATCTCATAGACGAGATATCTTGCTAATTAAGAGACAACACTTTCCTACAACTCTTTCAATCTGTGTTTTAGGTATATAAGAGAATCCCTAGCACATGTCGTGAATAGGTTACAAGAATTAAAAATATAAGACAATCAGAGACGATGTAGATCAGATCGCATATAAAATAAAGAGTTATACAACTTTTATGTCACACTTTACAATAAGGTTGATTAGTTAATGTAATTAACGCATTTACTAAAATGAATAAACAATGATGAACAAATTTACTACTGTATTTGTTCATGTTAGTAAACGTTAGTCAATGAAAATACAGTAGTTCATTGTTAGTTCATGTTAACTCATGGTGCATTAACTAATGTTAACAAGCATGGACTTGGATGTTAGTAATGCATTAGTAAATGTTCAATTATGATTAATAAATGCTGTACATGTGTTGTTCATGATTAGTTCATGTTAGTAAGTGCAATAACTAATGAACCTTATTGTAATCGACCCCTGTCGATTTGGACAAATTGTTTGTGCGTATGTCTTTTAAATACTATACAAAATACACAAAAAAACAAAACAAAAAAAGGGTATTTTTTTATGAAACTTACATTCAAGAAGTAATAAAACATGAACACATGAAGATAGAATAAATGTTTGTTTTTTGTTGTTATTGTTTTTAAAAAAAAAGATCCTTGGTTTGTTACTTTGAAATATGATATGGTCTTATATTTCTAGCAGAAAATATTATGAGGGCCGTCAAAAAAAAAAACAAAAAAAAAAGACCTGTTTTTACTTCAAAACACACTTAACTTCAGTTGTGTCAGTGACTAAGTAACTCAGAAACTGATCAAACTGACAAAATGTGAAAATCCTTTTAACTGCGTCTCTGATTTTGTAAAGCATTGAAGTAATCATTTGCATGTTTGTTTGCCGTTTGTGTTGAATGAGTTCCGTGTTTGGAGGAAGTCATAAAATTGCTTGAGCTCGTCCTCCGTCCAAAATCAACACGTGAAGGAAGGCATCCTGAACTCTGCAGCTGCTCTACTGGGAACCATACAACATTTTCCCTCCTTTTACTTAACGTGTAAAATATTCAAACACTCCATAAATACTCTGAAATCATTTTCATGTCGGAGTGTTTAATATCAGCGCTGCCGTATGATGGATTGGCACCTTTATGGGACCATATCTTGTTTATTTTATAAAGTCTGTGAAAGGCGGCTGTTGGAGACGGAGATAAATGCGGTGTTGTGACGTCAAGGCTGTACTCGCTGACCAGCCATCAATGGCGCTGCGTTTATTATTCTGGCCTTTCTGAAAAATGTGGGAAATGCATGCATGTGTGAGTTTGGACTTGTTTGCAAAGGCTGGTGATGCAAAGGGCTGAATTTTAATAACCATCAAATGGATTGATGTAATGATGAAACTAGTACTCGCATGTGGTGCAGTATGTATTGAGCAGCAGTTAAGAATCTTAATAAGGTTGCTTTAGTTCCAGGTTGCACTGCACTGTAAAAATGCTTTGTTTCACACATTTTTTTTTTGGTTGTCCTGACACAAATCAATTAAGTTAACTATTTGTTTTAACAAATTTTAGTGGATTGAACAAAACAATGAAGCACCCCCCCCCCCCCCCCAAAATCTCAATAATAGTGTTGAAGAAGTAGTTTAATGAGGCCCCGTTTACACTAATACATTTTCTTTTTAAAACATATAAGTTTTGCTATGGTTGGGCTTTCCATCCACACTACCCCAGAGTTTTTGAGCCCTGAAAACTGAGCTTTTTGAAAATGCTGAGAAGCCCATTTTAGTTTTAAAACGCTGCTGCTTTATGTCAGTGTGGATGGGGGAAAACGGAGACGTTTGTAAATGGAGGTGTGATCTGATTGGGTTTTTTCCTCAATATTAAGTAACGAAGTTCAGTCTTACACCCTTTCCTTAAGTTCAGACTTTGCAAGTTTGACATGAAAAACAAACTCCTGAGGACACGACAGGTAAAAACAGCGTAGTTTATAACGTCATTTACATCACCCTGGATCTTAACAACAAAATGATTTGAGGAACTGGCTATGTTCATTTTGATATTAAAAACGCAAAAAAATGTTGAGGCGTCATGTAGCTGAATATCAGTTTTAATAATTAATAATGGCCTTTATAAAAGTATAACGCACAATAGTTCATACATTGCAGGAAATGAAAGCAAGTGATCAGTCAATATGCAGAAACAGTGTATGTGCTTACATAAATTAATATATTACCTTATCTTTGCACTCAGCCAAAACACATTATTTGAGAACGAGTAATAGATTCAAAAGACTGAAGAGTCATTACATAGAGAGATGATGAATCAAATATCACGTTTGACAACTATAGTGAGATAAAATCTAGCGGAAGATCCTTGATGAACTGCCTGATGTGTGCTGCTCTCACCTGGGGAGGTGTGCTCAAAGCAAAATGATGTGCATTTTCAGAGGTGTAGTGTGGACTGAGATATTTTCAGAAATGCTGGGTGAAATGCCAGTGTGGACGTGGATCGTTTTCATTGTAAAACACTGTTTTAAAACTAAAACGTAGTAAACAGGGCCTAAGTGAGAAAGTAGCAAATATTATTTTTTAATGTGCTGTTTTGATTTTTCCAATCTCAATTTGCGTACTGTTGGATGTGCTACTATTATTCGTAATTCTTGTTTCATATTTAATTTAGATGGAATGCTCTAGACTTTTGCTCAGGGTGTTGGTGGAAACCACACAGTCCACGCAATTCCTTCATGTTGTCCCAACACAAGTCGATTAAGTTAACTTGATTGTTTTTACAGATTTAAGTGGATTGAACATAAAGGAATTAAGTTGTCCCAAACACAACAATTGTGACATTTGAGCTCAGTTTAAATAAGTAATTTAAACAAGTAGCATTTTTTTGACTGCTGTTTATTTTTTTAAATGTGATGTGCACTTTTAGTATGCTTTTTTTAAACAGTTTTTCCCTTTTTTCAAAATTATTTTAATAATCAGCTCAGAAAATGCATTTGTTTTATTTATTTTACAATGTCCCTCTGCTGTTTTAGTGTTGTTCTTTTAGTTTTTCCTAAAAAGAAAAAAAGATTTATGATCAGCTCTAGGTACACAGCTATTTTATTGTATTTAATTTTTTATTTATTTTATTTTATTTTATTTATTTTTTAAATATTTTAAAAATTCATTTATTTAGAATTTTATTTTATTTCTGCAAAATTTATTTTATTTCTTTTTATTCTTTCTTTTTTATGTTTTTACTTTTTGTCTCTTTGTATAAATAAATCATCTTCTATTTAGATTGTTTTTATATTGATTTTAAATATGTGCAGTTTATTTGTATTGGTGTTTGGTAATCTAAAAATGCTTTTTCCTTCACATTATTTGTATGCCTATGTTTTTATCTGAACCTATCAGTCATTTCATGTTCTCATCTATATTTTTCCTCTGTTTTTTTTTTTGTCTCTCAGAAGAAGAACCTGCGCCTTCTCCTCAGTGTGTTTCTCCTGGGCTTCTGGGGTGTCATCCTTCTAGCCTGTCGTCTTTACTGGATGGGCAACAAACCTCCGAACTTCTCGAACTCGGACAACCCTGCGGCCGACTGTCCCTGTTTCCTCACTAGAACCCTAACCTTCCTCTTCCTGCCCGCTATTAATGTCTGGCTCCTCCTCTGCCCTGACATGCTGAGTTTTGATTGGTCGATGGACGCCCTGCCTCTGCTGAGGAGCATTGCCGATTGGCGAAACCTCCACACTGTTGCCTTTTACACCTCACTTCTATCTCTGGCCTGGTTTGGACTTCACCTTTACCCAACAAAAAGCAAAGAAACCAATGGTAAAGCCCATCATGTAGCAAATGGAAAGTCCTCAAATGGACACAGTTGTAGCACTGACTATGAAAACTCAACTTTCTACTCAAACTCAGTGCAGATGAATGGAACAAATGGTACTGTAAAGCACTATTCATCATCTTTACCCACTACTGAAAGTTTGGTGGTCTTTTCATTGGGTTTATTAGCCATTCCTTTCATCCCAGCCACCAATCTGTTCTTCTATGTTGGTTTTGTGGTGGCCGAGCGAGTGCTGTACATTCCTAGTATGGGCTACTGTCTGCTGGTGGCTTTAGGAATGAGGTGTTTATATGTCCGACTAAGGAGAAAGTCCTCTAGAACGTTGGTGTTGGGCTGCTCTGCTGCGCTGGTTCTTCTCTTTGGAATTAAGACGGTGTTGAGGAACCGAGACTGGCAGAATGAGGAGATGCTATACAAGTCAGGGATATCTGTGAACCCTGCCAAAGGTAATTATGAGATTGCAATACACAATACGTCTGAAGATACCAATCTTTGCTTTAGCAGTCCAGATTGTTCTCCGACCAGGAGTTGTTCTAGTGTCATTAGTGTATGTTTATGGTTTGATGGATTGATATTTATTTATTTATTTATTCATTAATTCATCCAAAATATATGTAAATGTATTGCACTGCTACAAGTGTAATATTGCTTTTATATAACAGTTCAATGACGTAATTGTGTTTATAAAAAAAGAAAATCAAACACGGAGAGTCTCAAAAGCTCCTTGGTAAGAGGAACTACTTTCTTCCGCCATTCATACACATCTGCAGCTGACGCCAGAGCAGCAGTATTGTTACTAAGTTACAATGTCACTTTAGAGCTAGTATTTGAATGATTCTCTAATGTAATGTCTAAAGTTATGACGAAACAGGTGATTTTGCTCACAGTTTAAGATCATAAGGCTGAACGGCATGAAAAGACATCAATCTACAGAGATTTCCCACACTGTTAAAATATGACCTTAAATTCACTCTAAATTACTGGCTTATAATTGCATTACTTTCACAGTAAAATACTGTATGCAAATTCACAACAAATTATTGTGAGGTAGTTCACATGTTTTTGCAGCCATATATTGTAACTTCACAGTATATAGTAAAGTCCATTACTGTTATTTCACATAAAATTAACTATATTTTACTGTGAAGCAGGCTTTCCTCAGCCAGTCAATCTGACATTTACCTTTGACTTTGAAATCATTTTGGGTGATTAACAGTGTTTGGTTTTATGAAATAATTACTTTTTTTATTATTACGTTTTTGGCTGAGCACAACATTATGTTCATTTAAAATTATTTCATATATCCACGTTTACCTTACAAAGTTAAATAAAGAAAATTTTTGATTTACTCTGACATTCACGTCATTTCAAAACAGCACAAGTTATTTTTGAAGATGTAACCAAATTGTTTTTGGGGCTGCAATAACATTCTGTTATTTCTAAATTTCAAAAAAAGTGCCAATACTAGCATAAAAGTTCATTTGTATTAATGTCTATGTTGAATTAAATAAGAGTTTGAATTCTTATAACTAACATTCAAAAGATATAGCCCTTTTTACAGTAATCATGCTAATTTGATTAATTTCACAATAAAATTCTGTATTCGACACGTTAATGCGAATATTTACAGTTAAATTCTGTAAAGTGATGCTAATGTAATTTACTGTGGAAAGTTACAGTAAAATGTTGGGAAAATCTGGAATTTTCTTACAGTGTAGTATTTCTCTTTTGCAATTGGGAGATCGCTATAAGTAACCCTGAAAAAACCAGAGCAATGCAAACACTACCAGATTATTACGATATAAACACAGCACTACAACAAACAAAAGAGAGAGATCAACTTAGAATGTCACTTACCTGTTTTATAATGATTTGTTCAGCTGTAGTTTGAAACTTATGCTGTGAAAATGCTGTTTTTTTTCCACTAAGGACTTATTATGCAGCCTCTTGTCACAATCTTGTGGCAGAACATCAACCGTTTTAGCTATAATAAAAAAGTAAATAAATTAGTCGGCAACACCATGGCAATACAAATATTTTAGTACTTCGGCATTGCTAGTGAAGTTTGAGGATGCATAGCTGTCAGCCTGTTGTATATACACTTGCATTTATTCAGTTTTAGTAATATTAATGCATTGAACAATAAATGAGAAAAAAAATTACTTGGAAGATATTTATGTATGTATGTATGTATGTATGTATGTATGTATGTATGTATATATATGTATGTATGTATGTATGTATGTATGTATTTATTTATTTTTTATTTTTCTATTTTTTTATTTATTTATTTATGCATTTAGTTAGTTAGTTAGTTAAAATGCCAAGAAAAGCATGCGCATCAATCTTAAATGAGCCCTCGAGCAAAAACATATATATTAAAAAAGTAAATAAATTAGTCTGCAACACTAAGGCTCCAAAAATTGATATTTTAAAAATATTCTAAAACTTTGGCATTGCTAGTGAAGTTATGAGCATGCAGACTCCTTCAAACGTATTTATAGTGCATAAATATTTTATTGCAGCTAATGAAACGAAAATTCAGATTTAAACTCCTTTTTTTAAATGTTTAGAAAAAATGCTATGTAGCATCATGTAAATAAATATTCACTGTTTGCTTATAGAATTGTCTCTATTTATACACATTATAAACTGTGTTGTAATCATTTTCTTCTTCCAAATTCAGCTGAAAACCAAAAGTAGCTAATCTCTTTTTATCATAAAACATTATGAGGTTTGAGGCTTTATGTATCATGCTATCTCAGTTTGTTCTCATGGCAGTGCATCTTTGGAGTTTTTCCACTCTATTACTCAAAATCTAATCTTTTAGTTAATATAATTTTTTAATTAAGTAAGATTGACATTTATGAAGTGTGCATTAGCATAAAAGCAAATTTGCCAATGCATTTTAAGTACTCATTTCCATAAGCGCTGAGAATATTGCTTCTTTAATTGCAAGTCATATATTAAAAATCCTTCCAGTTTATCAATCACTTGTATTCATGCACTGAGATCATTTTGTTTGTATAGAAGAGCCGCTGAACTGTTAAATGATCATCCTCTCTTGATTGAATTTCATATATTAATGACACCCTGTTATCTTCATTTGTTAAGTCATTTAAATTGATTGTCAAAATTCCATTTAAATCATTTATCAAGTCAGGCGATGTCAATATGACTTCGTAATTGCCTCCCATGATCCAGTTTTGCAGGCGGTGTCACTTTTGCCCTTTTCTTGGCACAGATATTATGCATGGCTAGCATCTAAGATTGCATTATTGTAATGTAATTTACTTTTTTCTTTGCTTCTGCCTTTCATGAAGAGTATGAATTTCAAATGGTCTTGCCTTGCAATCATGAAAAGTTTCACAATTTTGCCTTGTGCTTGCAGCCAGGTTGCGTCACAGAGAACACTGTAAAAATATTCTGGAGGCCAAAGATTAAACCAATAATGCCACAAAATTAATGACACACAATTTGAAAATTCGTATTACAAAAATAAAGCATGAAATACATCTCAATTATTTTATATAAACATAATATGTTGTGAAAATGTTATGAAAATCAATCCCTTTTAATAATCTTCTGTAAATTAAAGATAAAAAAAAACATGAGTCACTTAATGCAAAATCACTTATTTATCACAGTATCAGACCAATTTTAATACAAAATATATATTTTTTTTATATTATATTATATTTTCTTTGTTGTTTTTTGCTTTGGATTTTGTTTTGGCTTTGTTTTTTGTTTTTTTTTTGCTTTGTGTTTTTTTGGTTTTGTTTGGTTTGTTTGGCTTAATGTGGTTTGATTTTTATTTGGTGTTGTTTAATTTGTTTAGTTTTTTTTTGGTTCTGTTCTGTTTTGATTTTGTTTGGTCCTGTTTTGATGTTTTGTTTGGTTCTCTTTGTCTTTGTTTTGTTTTGTTTTCTGTTTTGTGTTGTCTGTGTTGTGGTGTTTTGTTCACTTTTTTCTGTTTCTTTTTTGTTTGGTTCTGTTTGGTTCCGTTTTGTTCTTTTTTCTGTTTGTCTTTGTTTTTGTTTTCTGTTTTGTGTGCTGTTGTGTAGTGTTTATTCATGAAACTGCATATTTTACTGTTTTACTCTCTGTCCTTAGCCTGGGGCAACTTGGGAAACGTCTTGAAGAACCAGGGGAAGGTGGAGGAGGCTGAGCAAGCCTACAGAAATGCTCTGTACTACCGAAGGAACATGGCCGACATGTTGTATAACCTGTGAGTGAGCAGAATTCTGTCCATCTGTCCTGTCAAAGCACAGTAAACCGCTAGACCCACACTGTCCCCAGATTCATCCGTCTTCCAGAGGACACTGACAGGGTCCCTCTAGACACATTAACCCCCAGCGTCAGGCCACGGAGACACTTAATACATAATTCATATACCGCACACGTTTGGCCTGTTCACAGCAATACATGTAAAGCAGTGGTTAGAGGAGATCCTCAGGCATCTCGCAGTCTGATTTGATTTTAATTCAGGGGGTTGTGATGTGATTACAAACCCATTCTCGATGCATCTCAATTTTTCAGGCAGAACGAAATCATTTTGTAAATAATTTTGCACACTGCATGTCATCCAGTGTGGCAGGGTTATTTTTTTCATGTGCTTTTGTAATTAGAAATAAAAAATAAGTAGCATGGGGATTAATTTGCTATTTTTGTATATTTAAATATTGTTTATTTACATTTTTATAACAATTTAAAACTTTTTTGATCAGATTAATAAGATCAGAAAAGCACATTTGTTTGTTTGTTTTCTTATTTAACATCATGTTTGTAAAAGTATATAATAAAAATAAAAATGCTAATAATAATAATAGTAAAAATAATCATAATGGTTGTAGTAGTCTTATGTTTAAATAATAAAAATGTAAAAAATAATGACATTTATTATTATTATTATTATTATTATTAATATTATTATTATTATTATTAATAATAATAATAATAATAATAGTGAGTTTAAATAATAAAAATGTCAAAAAAATAATTAAATGATTTATATTTTTTATTAAAAAAAAATAAAAATTTTGATAATAATAATAATAATAATAATAATTTAAAGTTAAAATGATAAAATGTCAAAACCATGAAATAATATAATAATAATAATAAGAAGAAGAAGAAGAAGAAGAAGAAGTAGAAGTACAATAATGATGATGATAAAAGTAAAAAAGGGAAAAAAATATTTATACAATACATTACAATAAATTACTTAGTCAAACTTGCATTTGAATTTTTTCTTGCAAAACAGCATGATAAATGCTTCTTCCAAAGAGACAAAGAAATACAAAAGAAGAAAAAAAAACATTTTTATGGACCTTATTCAGCTCCAAGACAACCTGATGTACAAATTACTTTTTAAATTTCTTTTCATTAAAACTTGAGACTCTAAATCGACGGTTAGACTTTAATGGTATAAATCTATGATTGCACGCATGACTAGGATTCAAAATGATGTTCCTTGCCAGCCTTGTGAGGTTCTTGTAATACAAACGGTCATATAGTTTCTCAAGAGGCTTTACTACTATCTTTTTGAACATATTTTAATCTGGTTCATCAACTTTGTTTTAAGACTCACTTTATTTTCCTTTTTAATACAAAACAAAAAAAACTGTGTTTGTTCCTGCAAAATTCTAAAATATATATATATTTAAAAAGGTCTAGCTTGTTAAATTACTGCTGAGCAACTTGTTTAATTTGTTTGCTTGTTTTGGAAGGTTTTGTTGAAATTCAATATCACTAAACAAACTTTTATATAAATCAAGGGACTGTATCACTGCATTTATACACTTTTTGTCAGTTTTAAATAATGTCATCCCTCATCATTTGTAACATTTGTTGTTTGTCTGTCTTGATGTGTTTGGATTGCAGGGGTCTGTTGCTCCAGGAGAACAGCAGGTTTTCAGAGGCCCTTCACTACTATAAGCTGGCCATTGGGAGCAGGCCAACACTGGCTTGTAAGTACAGCTCGTCTCTTTATCCACAATTTCAAGCCTCCTCAGTCTTCAGTGTCCAGGCAACTACAGTCTGAAATTTGTGTGTGTGTGTGTGTGTGTGTGTGTGTGTGTGTGTGTGTGTGTGTGTGTGTGTGTGTGTGTGTGTGTGTGTGTGTGTGTGTGTGTGTGTGTGTGTGTGTGTGTGTGTGTGTGTGTGTGTGTGTGTGTGTGTGTTGGGATGAAGTCCAGCATTAGAGAAATAATGATGATTCACAGGCCTCCACAGTGACTTTCCACTCTTGTCAAAGAATGATTGACGTTTGATTCGATTTCAACTGAAAAAAAACCTAAGGATTCAGGCCAAAGTCCTTTCATAGTGTCAGGCCCAGTGAATGCATTTGCTTGCCCCATATCCAAATGAAATGCACATGCTATTTTTGGCCATTTGGAGGTTTTTTGGTTGAATTTTCCCATGTTGTTTTTAGTGTCATGGGAGGAAATTATTGCTGCTCTGCTTGAATGAGCTGATTTGCCCTGAGAGACGATTAGCAGGATGCATGCAGAGGAGTCTTGGGATTTATGAGCTCTGATAAAAAAGAGAGATATTTTGTGCTAATCTTTATTTTTTATTTATATATTTTCAGAATCAACTAGCTTGTCGAACAGTATGTAATTATCACTGGTTGAAGATCAAGACTAACATGTTTTCTAGAAATGTAAAGAAATGTAAATGTTACTAAATATTATTCAGCAATATATTCAAGTATTGTTTGGTTGGATATCTCCTACATTATAGTTGTTTAGGATAGTATTTTAATACAGTGCTGTAGTTTTTTAGCATATGAGGTGTGTCAAAAACATGTAAAAATCCAATTTTTAATGTAATGTCGTGCCACCATATCACTCCTGTACTTCAGCAACTTCACAGGCTTCCTGTTAAGTCACGTATTGATTTAAGACTCTGATTTTAACATATAAAGCAGTGCATGGGCTAGCACCTGACTACATCTATGACCTGGTAACTCTGGCCACTCCCACCCGCAGTCTTCGTTCTTCATCTGGACTTTTGCTCTATCAGCCACGCTGTAAACTAAAGACTATGGGTGGTCGTGCTTTCTCGTACAGTGCACCTAAATTATTAGAATCACCATATTTATCCATAACCTACTGAAGAAAAAAAAAATAGTAGCTAATGGTCACATTAAAAAACAACATGCATATAATAAGCAATTTTCGACCACTGTGGTGAGTGTTATATTAAACACACACCATGTTGATTTTATGTCACCAGATTAAGCTTTCTGACACGTTTACAGCACTATGAGCTATGTAGAGAACGCATAGTTTTATATTTAGAATAGATTGTTTACACATGAGAAGTCGACTACTAATGTATTTGCAAACAACACGTATTTAACATTGTAATAAGGACTATACAATAGTGTTAGATAACATTAAAATATACACAATCTTATTTTTAAAAACATTGTACCACTTAAAAGTGCAAGACCAACAACTCAAGTTGGCTGTAAATGCTTTTGGTAACTATTGAGAATCTCCATGAGCCGCTATTGCTGTTGAAGAAACGTTCCATTCCATTGGAGTCAATGGAGTTTTCCCTCTCTCTCTTTCTATGGCTCTGATCAGTTTCAAAGAACTGACCCAATCAGAAGAACTCCGAGGTGAGGAAAACATTGCAAACTTCTGTTTACACTAGCAACAGTGTTCATGATAACTGTTCTATTTGACAGTGAAATATCGGAGGTGGTGCTTTGCGTTTATTTACAGTTGTGAATTGCATTATGAGACGTTCATCTCTGCTCTGTTAACTTTTAATGCTCAAAATTCAACTCTACAGTTCAATAAAGTGACTTTTATTGACATTGTAGTCGTTTAAAGTAATATAATGCATAATAAATAATGTATAGACTGTAAAATATCAGAAAATGTACTGTCATTTTATTACATGGTTTTGTAGCATACTTTACAGCACCATCCCAGAGAATATATTACTTTAAACTAGGGGTCTCCTGATCCGATCACGTGATCGGAAATCGGACCCGATCACATGGTTTCAGACTCAAACGGAATCAGACGTTACCTCCCGATCAGTACTTGAATATATATGTATGTATATATGAGATATGTAAACTTGGGATTGCAAGAGGTGGAAAAGAAAAGGCTACAACAAACCTTATGAGGCACCTCAAAAACAAACACCTGACACTATACAGTGAGTTTCATTAAGAAAAACATTTTCTTCTGTGAAACTTACTACTGTGATGACAGTGAGAGTTAGAAATGCAGTTCTTTGTAATATGTGTGCGTGCGTGCGTGCGTGCGTGCGTGCGTGCGTGCGTGCGTGCGTGCGTGTGTGTGTGTGTGTGCGTGTGTGTGTGCGCATGCTTGCCGGGTATTTTAGGTTAAGGTGCTATTTGTTTTTATATTCATTTTTTTATATATTTAAAGTCCACAAATGAAGAATTTATGCTGTTTATTACTTGATTGTTCAAACTACCTCACAGAAGGGCTCTGTTTGATAACAGAGTTGTTGAATGTTAAAATAAGGGGAATTAAATGAAAAATAAGAGACCTCCTGGATCTGATTCTTTGCTCTTCTCTATTCTTTTTTTATGTAATAAAGATCATTGAATCGGGTTTAGGTAATGTTAGATATTCAAAATCAAATGACTCAGACTCGAGGGCAAAAAAACCTGATCAGGACATCCCTACTTTAAACTATTAAAAATTATAACAAAAGTCATTTCAAAGTTAAAAGTTCTTTTAAGAGAGCAATATCCCATAATGCAATTCAAAAGCATAAACAAACGAGGAAAAATAGAAGATATTTTTCCCAACAAATACATCTATGTTGTAGCAATGTCTGTACAACATTGCGTTTTTGTAAAAGCAACGTCGCCACTTATGTACTTGCTACATTATCACAACGTAAAAATGTAAGACGTGAGAAGGCTTTAGCAACAGTGTCGTGTTACATTCAGCAACCATGAGAAGACGTTCTTACTACATGTAATAATGTTTATCAATACTGACTAGAATGCAGGATAAGCAGTAATAATTTTCCAGTTTGCTTGATATTTAATATTGTTCATTATTTTTCTGTTAAATAAAATATATATTTTTAATTAAAAAACTACATATTTAAACTTTTAAGTGTAAAAATGCCCTGCAAATGTATATAATCAAACTTTTTAATTATATATTTCATATTTAATACATTCAGTGCACATCTAATTATAAGCAAACAGTATAAAATGTTTAAATTATAATAAATTATCAACTATATATATATATATATATAATTCAACTAAAAGTGTAGGTCAAATTAAAACGTCAATTGAGAAAGTTAAGTAAACAAACAAGAAAAGTAAACAAGAAGGCAAAATGCAGACACTGAGCATCAAAGCTCTGGGCTGGAGAATGCAGCAGGCAGGGGAGTGCAGCCGAACACCAGGCGTAGTTGTTATTATGGAGAGAACAGTCAGAGAAGGAAACTAATCCAACAGAGATTCCAGTTTAGAGATGGATCCACAGCAGCCACTAGTCAAAATAGGCAATGAACAAGAGAGGATAGATCAGAGTTTGACACAACAGGACTACACAAATGACAACTGATAACTTATTTAGTTAGAAGAAATAAAGCACTACTCATGTCTCCTCTGTCGTTGTTGAATGAGACTCAGAACATCTGTTGAATTTTAAACTAATTCATTGATGACGAGATAATGTTGTACAGTGGCCATCAATGCACAACCTAAAGCAGCGGCTGTTGAAATGGTCAACGTTATGACACTGTTTAAATCCCGACTGGTGAACACAATGTAACTTACACTTCAAATGAATGTACTTTTCCATATATATCCTTCAATTATATTTTGTATTTCAAACACAGGACAACATGTGTTCTGTAACTCCCCAGCTCTGAGCAGTTTTGAGCTTGTATATCCTCACATTAATATACTGTCAGACGTCTGTAAAAGATCAGTAATATTGGAGATCTGGGCACAAACATATTGCAGCTTTTAGGAGAGTGATGGATGTCTGCTTTCCCCCTGATTCCCTTCTGCATTTGTTGTAATAAATTGTCCCGTCCAAGTGATATAAACTCATTTATATCTGGTTCTGTGTATATCCGCGGTCTATTAAGAGCTTGAGAATTAAGCCTGCAGCTGGAGTGGGATATCCCCCTGCTGATTTCAACTCAATTCAGGCCCGGCTGGATCGTGAATATGTATTGGCACCTTATCGACTAGACTGCAGGCCGCTGATCTGCATAAATCAACTAGTTCATTCCTGGAGCCCCAGTGGAGGTCTTTTGCTGAGCCTCAATAAGCCTCATTACCTTTTGCACTGATATTCACCCCTTTCTCTCGTTCTCTCTTTCAGCCGCCTACTTGAACACAGGGATTGTCCTGATGAACCAGGGCCGTCTCGAGGAAGCCAAGCGCACTTTTGTGACTTGTGCTGAGATCTCAGATGAAAACCTGAAGGATCCGCATGCACACAAAAGCTCGGTTACCAGCTGCCTCTATAACCTTGGGAAGCTGCTTCATGAACAGGGCCATCAGGAGGTGAGATGGGCTTTAAAATTGTATGTTCACACCAAACCTGATGTGATCAAAACAATTGAAGAGGTAGTTTATACAAAAAAAAAAAATAGTATTCGTCATAAAAATGTAGGTGCACTGTAGTACAAGAGGGATTCGTTGAAAAGTAAGTAAAATTATTGCCTTTTAATTACTAAGAAATGAACTAATGGCCCGTTTCCACTGAGTGTTAGAGTACGGTACGATACAGTTCATACGCTTTTATGCCTTGTTTCATTGTCAAAGGTTATAAAGCGGACCGTACCGTACCACTTTTTGGGTACCCTTTTCAAAGGGTAGTCAGCAAAACAAAAGGCTACCAAAAGGTGGAGCTAGACGCGCAGCTGAATGCTATTGGTTGAGAGAGAAACGTCAATAGCGCATGCACAAGCCAGGAGCATAAAAATAAAGGAACCACCATTTTTAAACACCGTCGAGACATTACACCGTAATAATACAGTATATACAAATCATAACAAGCCATGGTCAACCTGAGCTTAAACAGACCTTGTTGTCGTCTTGATGAACAGCCACAAAGCCAAGAAGAACACTGAATCTACCCTGTGCACCTTAATTGTTTACAAGGCCATCTAAAGCTTGAGCAGTTTTACTTTCTTGATAGAGTGTGCTGCACGTCTATATTTGAAATAACAAACTTCTTGAGCTGATGATAATAACGTGGGCATGATTATTGAAGTGCTTCTGACATCAATCTCTTGTTTCTTGGTTTCTGAAACAGTGGGAAGTGCGAAAAAACAAAGAAGCCCAAAAAAAACAACAGGAGCAAATGATTATTTCAGCAAACTAAGAGATTAACAAACTGCCATGTTTAACTATTATCATCACTCTGATCGGGACATCAATACTTTAAACTATTAAAAATGATAATAAAAGTCATTTCAAATTCAAAACTTGTAAGAGAGCAATATCCCAAAAATATTATCATCAACTTTTGGACTATTATGAACTTGTAATGACAGAATTATGTTCTAACAAGAGGTTACATGTGCTGGTGAAGATTAAAGATACAGATGAGAGGTTTGCAATGACTGTGGACTACATGTTGCTTGTTGTTTTTGAACCCAAATACGGACTAAATGTCTGCTGTGTGTAGTTTTTCTGTAATTGGTAACATATCAGGGACTGTAAGGGGCTGTATGTGCTCATATATTTATTGTTTAATTATTCATTTATTTATTTATTTTATATAATCGCAGACGGTACCGCAGGCTATTTAGCACAGTCATTGATCTGCAGTTATAATCAAATTATATTCATAGAAAGGTTAGTAATAAACATTTCTACATGTATTGATGTGTAAAAAAAATCTGTTTTGTGAGAAGGGCTTCTGTTATGATATGTGAATGACCTGTACAGCTTTATTTTGATGTTTTCCTGAGTGAGAATGACGTCGATTGAAACTTTCTGTTGAACACCATGCTGTTCCATTGGTACCCTTTTGGCAGTGAAAACGCAAGCCTAATAAAGGTGACCCATAACCGACCTGTACCATACCATACTGTACCACTCAGTGGAAATGGGTCATAAACCTGTATGTTCACACCAAATCTGATGTGATCAAAGGGTCTAAAACAATTGAAGGGTAATTAAACAAAGAAAATAGCAGTTGTTATAAAAATGTAGGTGCACTGTAAAAAGTGATTTAGTTGAAAAGTGAGTAAACTTATTGCCTTCAAATGACTAAGTGATGAACCAATGGCCCATTTTCACTGAGTGGTACAGTACGGTACGGTTTGATATGCTTTTATGCTTTTATGTATGTTTCCACTGTCAAAAGGTACCAAAAAGCGAACCATATTATACCACTTTTTGGGTACCATTTTTAAAAGGTCCCTAACAAACAAAAAAAATCAATTGTTTATTATGATTATGGGATTGGTGGGTGTGTCAATGAGGCCACGCCTTCTTTGACATAAAGATATATTTCCAGTCCGTCAAGGTCAGACACACTTTAAAGCATTTAACAATGTAGATATGAATGAAGATATGAAGCTACTTTTTAACCGTAAGCAAATGGAAAAACTGAAAATCTTTAAATGTTAATGAATTAGTTTCTAAGCAACTAGTTTTATAAATTGAATGTAAACAATTTTCAAGGAAAAAATATCAATAAAATTCTAGTTAGCTATTCAGAAACTACATTTTTCAGGATTTATTTCTTTATTTAATCTTTGGTTATTCATATAATTGTTGCTTATAGAGTTAATGGTCTATTCTGTTTTTTTTAGGAGGCTATATCTGTTTATAAAGAAGCGATACAGAAGATGCCTAGGCAGTTTGCCCCGCAGAGCCTTTATAATATGATGGGTAAGTCTGTTTCTTTGTGTTTATACTTGTACTGGACTCAAATGTATTTGCATAGTTGCTGCAATTTATTACATTTTTTAAAACTTTATTTTAAGTGACTGCTATTATGAGATCGCAAAGCTGGGTTTATTTAATGGTTACATGTTTTAATAAATGACGACGCAGTGGCGCAGTAGGTAGTGCTGTCTCCTCACAGCAAGAAGGTCGCTGGGTCGAACCTCGGCTGGATCAGTTGGCGTTTCTGTGTGGAGTTTGCATGTTCTCCCTGCGTTCATGTTGGTTTCCTCTGGGTGCTTCGGTTTCCCCCACAGTCCAAAGACATGCGGTACAGGTGAATTTGGTTGGCTTAATTGTTCGTAGTGTATGAGTGTGAATGAGTGTGTGTGGATGTTTCCCAGAGATGGGTTGCAGCTGAAAGGGCATCCACTTTGTAAAACGCGTGCTGGATAAGTTGGCGGTTCATTCCACTGTGGAATGATGAATTAATAAAGGGACTAAGCTCAGGTACATCAAATGTAAAGCAAATGAGAAGCATCTTGAAGGGGGTGGAGCATGTCAGAAACTAGAAAGCATTTAATTGGTTATGATTTGGTGAGAAACTGTAGTGTAAGGTGACGTGAATCAAACCGTTGATCCATTTAGACGGATGTAACAAACTGCAAGCCTTACCAGTTTGTATCAGTTTTATATCATCTAAACTCCCATTTTGTCACTGTTTTGGAGCACACTAGCTAATAGATATCTTTAAATCTAGCAACACTGACACCTAAAAAACTTTATTTTAATTTCATGGGACCTTTAAAATTGAGCTTTTTTTTACTATTATAAATGTATTTTTATATTTACTGTAATTTTTGATCTTTTAATGCATTTTTATGAAAAATTTATTTCTTAAAACCATGAAAGAATATTATAATATCCCAGTGTTTAATTTCTAGACAGGTTGTTTTCTGTGTTGTTATGAACTGCATTTCTTGGCAAAGTCTTTAAGCTGTTTGTAGCATAAATTCAACAAGATAAGCTAGTTAAGCTTTTTACAGTGTAATAAAATAATTTCAAGTCATCAATATTTCATGCGCATATATTTATCTAGTAAGCAGTTGTGTAATAAGTGGGATAATGTACAGTCAGCATGTCATTATTGCAAAATACACTCCTTCAGGGCGATACAAGACCTCGCTGTCCAGCTTATTTCGTGATAAAGACTGACTGACTGTATCCCTTATACTGTAAATCCAAATTGTTTTGTTGTTTTTTTTATCTTGTCTCACAACAGTGGGCCTGTAATTGTATTGGTGTTTTTCTCAGGAACCCATTTCAAAAGCTTTCTTTGATCCATAGAATTGATTTTGTCAGATCGAGTTAACAGCTTCAACAACAAGATAAGTTAAAGGCTCCGTACGGCGCAGAGAGCGTGAGAATCACTTTCCTGTTTCATTTAAAGCATGGGAGCAAACGGTTGGATTTTAATATCTTATGCAACCTATTTACCAACCCACAGCGTTCAGTCTTGCCCTCCCATCTCATTTTCTCACAATTATTTCCTCCCGGCTGTATTTTTCCTAACTATTTATGTTTTTTATTTCCCCATGCTCCTTTGCCTCAGAGCTCATTTGTGTTCGCTTATCTGTTTTATGTTCATGTGTTTGTTTTTGCTGTTTCCACTCTATTGTACTCATTTTAACAACCCGCGTCCTCGGCTTTCTCCTGTGGTCAACTGAACCTAGTACAGATTGACTGAGGAGGTCAGATTGGGTCTAAATGTCAGTTTCGTTCGGTTACCCTCAGCTTAGTCCCTTATGGGATCGCCACAGTGGAATGAACTGTCGCTGTTCTAGCATATGTTTTACACAGCAGATGCCCTTCCAACTGTAACCCAGCACTGGGAAACACCCATATACTCTAACACTCATACTCTATATGAATATATGCCCGCTTGTATCTGCTTGTATCCCGCTTGTATCTGAGATCTTGTCCTTTCGGTTATGACATAAAGCTCATGACCATAGGTAAGAGTAGGAATGTAGATTGACTGGTAAATCGAGAGCTTTGCCTTTCGGCTCATCTCCTTTAACACAACAGACCAGTACCGGCTAATTTAGTTCTTCCAATTCACCTACAGTATGTTTTTGGACTGTAGGGGAAACTGGAGCACCCTGAGGAAACCCACACAGACACAGGGAGAACAAGAAAACTCCACACAGAGCACTACGTCACTAGCTCTAGTTTACTCACGGGATGTTTTTCACCTCAAGCTCATTTTTGGCTCACGTTGAATTATTTGCACTTGTGCGATAACTTGATGCAATAAAGGCTAATAACTTGCGGTCAAGACAAACATGTCACACATTTAGCATCATTCATGCCACCTGGTAGAATTTTGACCAATATTTGTGTGTTTGCATTTACTTTGTATGTAATCTACTTGCACAAATACTTTATTTTATTTTATTTTATTTTATTTTATTTTATTTTATTTTATTTTATTTTATTTTATTTTATTTTATTTTATTTTATTTTATTTTATTTAGAGATTCTTTTTTTATTTTTTTATAAACCCAGCATTAGTCTACAGCATTTTTTCTGATGTAATTTTGTCCAATGCCATTTTTTTTTCATCTGAAGAAATTTCATTCTGATGCATTTATGTCTAATGGTATTTCATCCAGAGTCTTTTTAAATGATTTAATTTCATTTTTGTACAATATTTTATGGTCTTTCAACTAATTTTATTTTGTCTTTTCGTTTGATGACTTTTGGCTGATACTTTCCTCCTATGTTGTTTTGTCTGATGCTGCTTTTTACAATGTCTTTTTAATGTTTCAATCAATGCATTTTTGTTCTTTAGACTTTTGTTCTATAGACTTTTGTCTCGCTGATGTTGTTTCATACAAATACATTTTTGTCTGAAATCACAACCTCTTTGATGTTAGTCTAAGGTAAAAGTAATAACATTTAAGGTTTGGCAATTGACTATGTGATGGTGAAAGCAAAAAGACATAGACAACGGAAATGCCAATAAAAAATTTAATTTACAAAAGTGACAACCATACCAATGGCCAAATAAATAAACCAAATGAAATATTTACAGTAATGAAAAAATTAAGTAAAGTAGCAAGTTTAAAAAGAAAGTATCAAACTAAAATATTAGGTCAACGCAGGAGTAAGGGGACGCTAGTGATGCCAAACAAAGGAAAAAATACAACAAAACAATTCTAACTCTTACCTCGCTAGAAAGCACAATGAAACAAAAAAGTCTACTCTATTTTCAACTATTCAATAAATAAAAACAAAAGATGGCATTCACCTTTTACCTGGTGTCTCTAACAATAAGTTACCTACAGTACGTATTTGCAAGATGAAAGTCGTACAACATCCTCCCTATCCATTTTTCTCTCTGAGAAAAGAGTAAACTAAATGAATGGTAACTCTGTATGAAGCTGGAAAGAGCTGGGCCATCAAAGTAACAAACAAATCAAACTAAATTAAAATGTACAAAACACAGAAGTCTCAAAAGTGGACAAAATGTGGTTCCAGAAGGCTTTTTTAATGAAATGAACTCTCTTAAGGACATTTTTAGTGACACCAGAAAAAATGTAGAATTTTTATCATTTGTTAGCGCTAAATTATTATTATTTTTTTAATTCATGTATTCATTTGTTTGTTGTTTTTAAATCGTATATTTATTATTAAAATGTTCTAGCCATGAATAGCATTGGTTAAAATAGTTAAAATAGCATTGGTTGCTGACATGGCATTAAACAAAAAATACATTGCATTACAAAAACGAGATCAAAGAAAAGTGCGCTCCTCTCCGCTCTTTCTGCCATCCCTTTTAAAGTATGTTGCCAAGCCACGTGGTCCAATTATGACAGACCAGTCTCCTGACCAATCAGCTGTCAGAGTAGGCAGACCTAATCAAAATGACAAGAGCAAAAACGGTAGAAAAAATACAAACAATATTTGTCTACGGACATGACACTGATTTACTTTCGTTTGTGTTTTTGTCTGTTGCTATTTAATCCGATGCCTTTTTGTCAGACGCCACTTCATCCCAACCATTTCACCTGTAATGGTATTTTTCTGCGGATGTTGTTCCTGTAATGGCATGTCCGTGGCAATTTATTTAGTTTGATGCCATTCTACACAATGTTTACTTGTATGAGACTTTTCGTAAAGGATCAGTCTGATATTCAGGTCATGGGCAATAAGTGCAAATCCCATGGTAGGGTATGTGTGAGGGGAAAAAGTGTACAAGATTAATTTGTGATTATTATCATTTTTGAAACCGTTTTGTAGAATATTTCATAGTTCAAAATCCCTTTTAGCATTTTAAATGCCCTGACTGATTGGTGTAACAAAAAGGATACAAATTTCTTTTGATCGTTACATTCGCAATCCCATTAGTTCCATCTCTTTATTGGTAGGAGTCTTCAGGAAGAATAATCTAATTCTGTTTCTCAAAACAAATGATGGAAGTGACGAATGAGAAAGTGTTTATGTAAGATTTGCTAACTGAGTCAGAGGATTCTGTAATCCCTAAAAACCTTACTGGTTTTCCAAAGCAATATCAGTGTTGATTTACAAATATAGGCAGAGTTTAGTGTTACATCATCGTTCATCTGTCATCAATAAGCTGTCTGCAGTATGTTATGTTTTCATATATATATTTTTATTGTTGTAATAATAGCTGAAAATTCCAGTGTTATTTGACTTGGGGCTGTTTTAATGACCCGTATGTCCTATATTTGACACCAGCATTACATGGGTGCGGACAGACGCGTATTCAGACTGACGGGTCATGTGAAACCCCAGTGTAGTCACGTACCCTCTGCTTATGTTATTTTTGCTCTAATTACATTACATTAACATTGTTTAGGCTGTGTTATCTCAGTGAAGTAGCTGTGATTCGCTCTTCTGTAATGATCTATGTGTGTGTATGTATGTGTGTGTGTGTTATTGCAGGTGGGTGGGAGATCAAGTCTGGCTGAGGAATTAGATGATGTTTAAAGGATAGGAGTGTGTGTTTATACTCGTGCCATAAGGAGTTCACTTTTACATCTGGATTTATAAGAGCAGGGTTGGCGTGGGACAGACACAGCTTTGAATTGCTGAGAGGAAGAGTTGAAGAGCGGAGGGCATGCTATTTTTAGAAATGTATTAGTGTAGATGTTTTTTCCTCTACATTTTTTTTAAATATAATAATTCTGCAAACAATTAAAAAATGAATGCAATTGAGATCTTTCTACTTAATATTTTGTATTATTATTTTTTAAATTAATAAATTGCTAAGTATATTTAAGTTTGTATTATAATTTTATATTTTTTTAAATAAAATTAATTTAATTTTATAATAATATTATATAATTTATATTCGGATTTCCACATGTTTATAAATCGTTTTGAGGGGTGTCAACAATAACAATGGTCCTAACCTATTTCCTTTCACACATTTTTAATTTCTTTAGCTTCAGAGAATCCAAAAAGGTCCGTGTATTGATAAATAATGTTATGGCAGTTGTTGTAAGATAATATACAGTATGATCCAATTGCCTCTTGTTACAGTTATGAAAAAGTTTGACAACAAGCAGGAAATGTTCATGGGCCAATGACATTGAATGGTCCCATTGAAATGGTCTATATGTTGTTGTTGTTTTTTTTGTTTTTTTTGTATATTGTATATGTACAGTGTAGATGCTAAATCCATGTTATTTTAATTACAAGGAATTTCATAATATTTCATATGCTGATATATATATTTATATACTGTATATATTAGCTTACTGTATATGCTTCAATGATATATTTATATATTGAAGAGTATAAATATATGAAAGAGTTCAGATGCAAAAACCTCTAAATGCTGTCTAAAATTTCCATCAAAAATGAGCATTATTCTCATCCTCTGTTGGTTATGTTGAGTTATTTCAGTTGAATACCATGAAAAGACCTTATTCTTTGCCATAAAAGTGAAATTACTGAACCCAAGCACTGGAGCCTGATACATATGCTAATTTAAGAAGAAAATGTCAAATGGCATTTTGAGGTTTTTGCATCTGAACTCTTTATATACATCTATAAATTTTAATTTTTATAATATTTTAATATAGCCTACATATTATGTACAATGTTACAAAATATGTAATTTTTTTAATGCTATTAATAATATTCTGAATACTAACAATGCAATTATGCTATTAATGCTTCTACAGTTGAAGTCAGAATTATTAGCCCCTCTTTTAATTTTTTTTCTTTTTTAAATATTTCTTAAAGGATGTTTAACAGAGCAAGGGAATTTTCACAGTATGTCTGATAATATTTTTTTCCTCCAGAGAAAGTCTTATTTGTTTTATTTAAGCTAGAATAAAAGCAGTTTTTAATTTTTTAAAAGCCATTTTAAGGACAAAATTATTAGCCCCTTTAAGAATTTTTTTCCCGATAGTCTACAGAACAAATCATCATTATACAATAACTTGCCTAATTACCCTAACCTGCCTAGTTTACCTAATTAACCTAGTTAAGCCTTTAAATGTCACTTTAAGCTGTATAGAAGTGTCTTGAAAAATATCTAGTAAAATATTATTTACTGTCATTATGGCAAAGATAAAATAAATCAGTTATTAGAGAGGAGTTATTAAAACTATTATGTTTAGAAATGTGTTAAAAAAATCTCCTCTCTGTTAAACAGAAATTGAGGAAAAAATAAACAGGGGGGCTAATAATTCAACTTCAGCTGTATACTTTATGCTCATTATTATATACTACAAATACTGTTAAATAAATCTAATCTAATGAAAAATAATCTCTTTAATAATTAATGCTTATCTTCTGGTCAGTAAGCAATAACCAGCTACATGTTGGTTTCACTCCAGTATCCAATTTCATGAAGTGTTGATTTTTTTGTGGTTTGTTTTCAGTTGACTGCCTTCATTTCTGCTGTGGGATGAAGCACGGCGCAGGGCTGGTTATGTGCTTCTTTAACTTCTGACCTGTTGACCTGACCTCTGTCTCGTGTCTCACAGGAGAGGCCTTCATGAGGCTGAACAAACTCACGGAGGCAGAACACTGGTATAAAGAGTCCCTCCGAGCCAAACCTGACCATATACCTGCACACCTCACATACGGCAAGCTCCTGGCTATGACGGTAAACAAACACAATAACCCACACTGAAAGAAAAAGCGCTTGAGTTGTTTAGCTATAAATATTTAGACAGAGGTTTGCCAGTTTGAACCTTGGGAAATAAAATCCAGGAACTTTGCCTTGCTCAAAACCTTGCTGAAAATGAAATCATTATTTAACATCCTTTGTGTTGTTCTAAAACAGGGGTCCCTGCAGGTTTTAGCTCTAACTTGCCTCAATACACTGTGTTTCAAGTATATCTAGTAAGACCTTGATTAGCTTGTTCAGGTGTGTTTAATTAGGGTTGGAGCTAAAATCTGCAGGACACCGGCCCTCCAGGAATAAGTTTGGTGACCCCTGTTCTAAAACATTTGACTTGCAGTACTGAAAGCTAAATGCACCAGCTTGACTTGTAGGATGATGATGGCTCTACATACAGTTTTTTAAATTACTGTAATCTGTGAGAGTTAAGAAATATAAATATTGAGTAAATTACCTTTAAAGCTATTCAGATTAAATGCTTAGCAATATTACTAATTATATATATATATATATATATATATATATATATATATATATATATATATATATATACACACAATATATATATATATATATACACACACACACACATATATATTTGCTAATCTAAAGTCGCAAATATCTGGTCCAAAGTGCATTTTTATGGAAGATGTATTTTTTTGGGGAGAATTTTTTATCAATTTCTGGACAGTCAAAAGTTTACACACATTTTCTTGGTATTTTTTTTTAGCTTTGCTCTTGAACTGTATAACTTTGGTCAAATGTTTTGGGTATCCTTCCACAAGCCTCTCACAATAGTTTGAAGGAATTTTGGCCCATTCTTCCTGACAGAATTGGTGCAACTGAGTTAGATTTGTTGGCCGTCTTGCTCGCACAAGCTTTTCAACTCTGCCCACAAATTTTCTATAGGATTGTGATCAGGGCTTTGTGATGGCCACTCCAAAACATTCACTCTGTTGTCCTTAAAGCACATTGTAACTAATTTGGCAGTATGCTTAGGGTCATTGTCTGTTTGGAAGACCCATTTGTGGCCAAGCTTTAGTTTCCTGGCTGATATCTTGAGATGTTGCTTCAGTATTTCTACATAATGTTCTTTCTTCATGATGCCATCTATGCTGTGAAGTAGACCAGTCCCTCCTGCAGCAAAACAGCCCCACAACATGATGCTGCCACCCTAATATTTTATATTTAGAATGGTGTTGCTAGGCTTGTAAGCTTTCCCTTTTTCCTCCAAATGTAACTCTGGTCATTATGGCCAAACAGTTCCATCTTAGTTCCATCAGACCACAGGACATGTCTTCAAAAATTATTATTTTTCCCAGTGTAATTTAGCAAATTGTAATCTGATTTTTTTTTATTCTGGCTTGTTGATTTTCTCATGTTGTCACACAAGGAAGCAGTGTGTTTGAGGTTTTCCTTAAATACTAGTCTAAATTTGTGCCTCCAATTAACTCAAATGTTGTCAATTAGCCAATGAGAAACTTCCAAAACCTTGACATCATCATCTGAGCTTTTTCAGATGCATAATATTCTTATTGTATGTAAACTTGACTTTCAAGAAAAGTTATAACAATTTCTCAAAAATATCTCTTTCAATATTCTGCTATTAAGCATAACAGAAACAAATTTGATAATCCTAACTTACCTAAAAGAGAAAAAGTTTAGTCGCATAACATCTGACTTTTTTTAAATGGTTATGTGCGTTTTTATACAGTATATGTAAACTTCTGGTTTCTACTGTATATATGTATGTATGTGTATGCCTGACAGTTAAGGCTATATCTTTACTGTCACTTTTTATCATTTTAATGTATGCATTTGCAGGTATATAAGTTTTAATAAGTCAACAGACTATCAAATTGCTGATTGTTCATCCAAAAGATGACAGAAGAGCTTTCTTTCATAAATTACTGTTGACCACATTGTAAAATCCCAAAAAACACTTGAATGTATTTTATAGATAGATAGATAGATAGATAGATAGATAGATAGATAGATAGATAGATAGATAGATAGATAGATAGATAGATAGATAGATAGATAGATAGATAGATAGATAGATAGATAGATAGATAGATAGATAGATAGATAGATAGATAGATAGATAGATAAATCTTTCTTTCTTACTCTTAGTTCTTAGCCTGCTTGTTTGGTGCACACAGGGTTTAAGCATTTTTTAAATGAACCACACTAACAGAGCAAGCACAAGAGTTTGTTTTAATTAAACCAAACCTGCCAAGTGTGAACACACCCTAAATGACCAATTAGTAGCTCGGTAAACATCCATGCCTGCTAGACAAACCACTTTTTGTCCGTTAAATACCCTTTAGTCATAATGAAGCATGAGCACACATTGGCTTTCTGCCTAAGACAGGAGACCATTATATAAAGAAACCGTTTTTATCCATAAATCTAAAGCGAGCAGAAGTCCCTTAAGACCAGACGCATTCTCGCTTTCTCTCTGATCTTGAAACTCAAAACTGAAAAAGTGAAGCTGCTAGAACTGAAGAGCGGATTTCTCGCACGTATGCCCTGCGTCTGAATTCGCTCAGCTGAAATCCGTGTGGACAGATATGAGAGAAGATGTGTTGGAAACGGCCGAGCAGATCGTCTCGGGTTTACCTGTGTCTGTCTCCTTTTATTTCCATTGTGGCCATATGGTGGTCTTCAGGCCTGCTTCACCCACAGGCCACCAGCAGCTGATTAAAGAAAATACAGACTGTCTTCAATTACCATCTCTAAAGTTCAGCAGAGACAGTAAAAGAGGAATTGTTCTGAGCTTTACTTTTAATCTAGCGTGACAAGAAAATCAAAGGAGGAATGTGATGGACTCCATGCTAATCAGGAATATAGTTTAAAGGCTAAATTGACATAGTTTAGTTTCCTTATTTTGTTGTGAATGAATTGTCTGCGTATGTGTTTAAAAGAAAAAAAGTGATTTTCATATTCGTACTGTTGGAAATTCTTCAAGGTTCAGAACATATTTATAATGTTCTGATAGTAGAATAATATTCAGACAACTGTAGTTATTAATAATAATAATTATTATTATTGCAGAATGAATCACATTTATCATGGTCTAAACGTGTAAAAACTCACAAAAATTTGTACACACATCAGAATTGGCGAAGATAAGTTTATTTATATAGCACATTTCATACACAGTGGCAATTCAAATTGCTTTACATATAAAGGACATAAATAAAAATTGAATTAAAATAATAAGAGACAGGTATAAGAAAATCAAAACAGATAATAAAAGTGATTCAAATCATATTAAAATGTGTTTAAACAGGTTATAAAAGAATGAAAGAAAAAAATCTGTTGGACTATGCACAGTGCTCATTCAGTAAAGACACAGCGAAACAGATGTGTTTTAAGTCTTAGTAGTAGTAGTTGTAATTTTAGTAGTAGTAGTAGTAGTAGTTGTTGTTGTTGTTGTTGTTGTTGTAACAGTAGTAGTTGTACTTGTAGCTTTAGTAGTTCTAGTTGTAGTTGTAGAAGTAGCTGTTGTATCTGTAGTATTTGTAGTAGTATTAGTTGTTGAAGTTGTAGTTGTAACTGTAATAGTTGTACTTGTAGTAGTTGTTGTTGTAGTAATAGTTGTAGTTTTAGTAGTAGTAGTAGTAGTAGTTGTATTAATAATAGCACTAGTTGTAGTATTTGTAACTTGTTGTAGTTGTTGTTGTTGAAGCTGTCGTAGTGGTTGTAACTGGTAGTTGTTTTACTAGTAGTAGTTGTTGTAGCAGTAGTAGTTGTAGTTGTTGTGGCAGTAGTAGTTGTTGTTGAATTTGTTGTAGTTTTATACTTGTAGTAGTAGTTGTAGCTTTAGTAGTTGTTGTAGTAGTAGTTCTAGTTGTTGTAATAGTCGTAACTAGTAGTTGTACTTGCAGTAGTTGTTGAAGTTGTAGTAGTGGTTGTAACTAGTATTTGTTGTAGCAGTAGTTGTAGTAATAGTAGTAGTAGTTGTTGTTGTTGTTGTTGTTGTTGTTGTTGCAAATGTAGTAGTTGTACTTGTTGTAGTTGTTGTAGCAGTAGTAGTTGCTGTTGTTGTAACTGTAGTGTTTGGAGTAGTAATTGTTGTTATTGTTGAAGTTGTTGTAGTTGTAACTGTAGTACTTGTAGTAGTAGTAGTTGTTGTTGTTGTAGCTTTAATAGTTGTAGTTGTAGTTGTAATTGTAGTAGTTGACTTGTAGTAGTTGTTGTTGAAATTGTAGTAGTGGTTGTAGCTAGTAGTTGTAGTTGTTGTAAATTTAGTAGTTGTACCTGTAGTAGTTGTTGTTGTGAATGTAGTAGTTGTACATGTTGTTGTAGTAGTAGTTGTAGTTGTTTTAGCAGAAGCAGTAAAAATTGTTGTTGCTGTACTTAGGGTTGTAACGGTATGAATTTTTCACGGTATGATAATCGTCTAAAACAATACCACGGTTTGACGGTTTCGCGGTATACGGTATGTTACAAATGTTACAAAATAATAGAACAGTGAAGCAAATTTGACTTTTTCCAAATAATATATTTTTAGTTACTATAAACAACACTACTTACAATGAACAAATAAAAATAAGAAAATAATAAATAATGTGTCAAAGTCCAAATAAAGTCCAAATAAACATGGTGCAAATCCTCAGTAAAAAATAGATATAAATATTTACTATACTATAAATAGTTACATAACGAAACTAGATTCAATATGGAACATCCTTAGGTTTTATGTGCCAGCATGGATATGGTTGTCTGTGGATATGGATTTGGATATGGTTGTCTGCAATGCAGACAAACAGCTGGATCTTCATTTGCGTCTTTTGAAAACAGCAAGAGCAGCAGTTCGTCTTTGCTGTGTCACTGTTTTGTCATGTTTCTGTGCTGCTGTGCATGCAAAAGTACTTAGTATGAGAATTATTTCATGCAAAACTTTTTTTTTTTGCGTTTTATTTAGCCGCGCATAAATGTATGCCTTTCTCTCATTCCGTGTTGTTCAAAAAGCT